CACACAGTACTCAACAGCTCTTCAAAATTAGTTCACAGATGGGATCACTGCAAAAGGGAAACAGCATGCCTTTGGCAACCACCCTCAGCAGTGGGGAGATGTGTGTCTTAATGATCATTTAAATACAGAGTTAAGTCCAAGCACCACAACTAAGTCTGGAGTTAAACCTTTAGTATCTCAACAACATGACTTCTCTTTCACATAAACACACCAAAGGCTTATGATGCTTTGATGTTGAAAAAAAAAATTAATTTGTCCTTGTGAGATTAAGCTAAAACCACAGACAACTAAGCTCAAATGCTAATCTTTTTAAAAATACCTTTTAAAAGTTCATGTTTGCAAAGAACTAGAGAGTCTTGTGTAGGATGGAGCTGTGCTATTAATGACAAAGTTCTCCCTAAAAGCTCTAGCTACCTAGTAACAAAGGAGAGAAACAACCAAATATTATGCTAAGGCTGGGTTGTTTTGCTGCAGTTATATCCTCTGATATTTCTGGAATTGGTAACATTTTAGAGTAAATAATACCATGAATAATCTGTTGTGTGCAATGATTTTTTCCCCCTGGAGGTCAATTTAGAAATTTCAGGTTTTCACATGGTCAGTAAGAACTATGTACAAACAAATACAAAGGAAAAAAAAAAAAGAATAAAAAAAAAAGAAAAAAAAAAAACAGATCTATAATTATCACTTTTGTCTACCAATTGGATACACTGTGGAAAATAAATACAATAGAACACAACCTGCAGGATCATTCCTGCATAGGCAACAATTTGCATTTCACAGCAGGAACCTTAGTGTTACCAAAACATTTATTTTCCTGTAATAAAACATAGCATAACTGTACATACACATACTTGTCTAATGAAAATAAGATTCAAAGAGACCGTATGGGTCATCTAAAAACAATCTCTGAATGAAAGATTAATCTGAAAGATTCAGAGAGATATGTCAAGAATCATAGGCCACAGAAGATTTTCAAATATCCTAGAATCATAGAATGGCTTGGATTGGAAGGAACCTCGAAGATCATCTAGTTTTGACATTCATACATTATCATCCTTTTTGACCCACAAATGGTAAAGCAGATTCCTTAATCTTACCAACACTGTTAACCAAATTTATTGCTTCTGTCCTTAATTTTAAACACAGAAGTGAGATAAAGGAGCCACAGAGTTAGTTTTGGCACCAGCCTAGTCAGAGATGGTAAGAGAAAACAAAAGCATTTTTCTCTCTCTCATACAGCAGGAGAGAAGGATTTATTTTACTTTTTTGTTTGTTTGTTTCCAAAACCTCTGTACACTGACTGAAAGCAGAACTGATGGGACTGAGATATCAATCTCCAATGTTTTTTGTCTGATTGCTCTAAAAGTAGAAGGAAGCAACTGATTTGTTTTGTCTTGTCTCCATTTATAAAACTTATTTTAAATATCAGAAGAGATGTGAATTTTCATTCAATTACCTCTTACAAGGAAGGAAGAGGGGAAAGAAGGATAGTACACAAGCAAGAATGAATGCACAGCTACCCCACCAAGCAAAGGTATGAGGAAAATACTGCTGCAGTGATTGTGAGGCATCAGTGGTCAACAGTTGCTAGGAAGAGAACCCCCACAAATGACATAATCTGATCTCCATACACAGGCATAAAACAAGTCTAATATAAGGTGAAATAGATATTTCTGACCTGAAATTCTGATAGAAGAAAAGCTGCCTGACTTCTGACTTTATTATGCCAGTTTTCAGACCTTAGATCCTCCCAGAATACATAAACTAGCAAATTCATGTTTAGAGGAGATTAAAAACGATTTTGATACAAGTGCTAACAGCACTGAACTGACACATCATGACTGTTTTTCACAGGATTAGCAAAGACTACTTAATCAATTAATACTTCATTAACACTTAATAACAACAACAAAACTTAAACGGTGCCTCTTTCCTGCAGGGAGAAATAACGCTGGAGTTCTAGTTTCAGTGAATTACACAGCCTGTAGTTAAAAAAATAAACACCAAATCTTCTACCCCTATTCATCAATCAAGTTTAATTTGATTACAAGCAGATTTATTCAGGTCACGGCATGGACTGACGCAAAGAAAAGGGAAGGTGACTTAATACAGCTCTGAATTTAAGTCCTTTGCAATTATGTAGTGCTTTGTATCTGCAGATCTTCAGACATTTCACAAACCGAATAATTACTCTTTTCACCTCCCATTTAAAGAGACAACAGCAGCAATCACAAACAAAAAGTGAGAGAAAAGACAGCTCTCACTTCTAAACTAAAACAATTACTTGGATCAGCTTGATAAAAAATCAAAATGAAAATACCCATGCACCCTCAACTGTGAAATTTAATAGTAGCCTTCCACAGTCATTCTAAGACTTTTAACCCATTTGCTTTGACATGGTCAGCACTGAAATAAAAATCTGGAAGATTTATGTTGGAAAAACATCAGAAGTAAATATCTTAATTTTCTTAAAAAGAATTCCCATTTATCTCAGCCAATCACAAAACCAACAAACTGTTTCAGTTCCCCAGAAAGTCCATTCTCGGCAAGCTGGCTATTAATCTACCAGAAACAGCATTCACAGCTGTTTGGCTATTAATCTAGCAATGCTTTGGATCGACTGATTAGCAGTTAAACTTACATCTCATCAGACAAAACATACTGTCTTCCACTTGATACAGCAAGGCCTTGGAAGACTCCTCTTTCATGTTGCTTGTTGAAAGCAGAACACATTGAGGTTTTGTTGTCTGGTGTTGTTCATTATTCAAATATAAATAAACAACACAAAAAGCCTATTCATCGCAGTTTCAGCAAATTAATTCATCAATATAAGCATTGTCTGTTGAAGCTCCTTAAGCTTATTAGAAATACACATTTTCACCCCACTAACATTTTGTTGTTCTGCTTGTAACACTGAGTGAAAAGCTACCTGTTTATATTTGACCAAAATTATGTCATTTGGTTGCTACCACTGTGATCAAAGTTCTAAGCACACAGGTTACTGACCTCAAAACACTTTTTCAAGTCCTTGTTTGACATAATGTGCTATTTTCTATGTCAATAGTTACTCGATCCATTGCCCAGTACATTTACAACTGAACAAAATCAAAAGAATGGAATCTACTCCTCCATGCATTGCTCTTAAGACATTCACTTGCCTCAGTACAGTTCACTTATGAATAAAAATGCATATTCACATTGTATGAGAACTGCTGAATCATGGCCTGAACCTCTGATTGACCACCTGAGGTGAGCAATGAGTCAGCCCTGAGAGCACAGGAGAAGACAATTCTCCTGCGCTATGAAAGGGCTGGAGCCTGGCTCCGCCTTTCCTAGACCCCTTTTAAGAGCTGACCACCCCTAGGGAAGGATTTTTTTTTTTTGGAGACTGTTCCTCTTGGAGTCTTCTCAGCAAGCCCAAGATAAGGGTAAGCTTTCCATCCATTCTTTTTTGGCATGATAACCCGTTTAGCCTAACTTTCCTGTATATTTCTTAATTATAACATCTGTATTTTCACTGATTACATACATATGCAATAGCTTCTAATATTATTATCTGTTCAACTGTTTAGGAATCGTAGCTAAGAAACATTAACATCAAACTTGCTAGACCTTCTTTTTCATTACTTCAACTAAAAATTATTCAGAACTGTTACAATGAAATTGTGTTCTATGCTTTCTTTGCATAATGAATGTCTAGCACAGAGGGAACATCCAACTTCTTTAGGGAAAAACATATGTAAAGCCAAGTGAGACTGGATCCCATGCAACTAATAACACAGAACTCTGATATGACTTTAATGATACAAAGAAAGGACAGGAACACAGGAATTGGGGAGGGGGTGGGAAAGTGAGCGACAGACTTGGCTAATATGAGGTCAGCATTCCAAAGTCTATGGCTTGTGTTCTCTCCCAATCATAGGTAGGCATCAGCAGTGGTTTTGCCTGATCAGACCAGTACTGTGATACCACTTTACAAACTGTAGCCAAAGGGGAAAAGCAAAAACAAAAGAAAAAGGGTGGGGGGAAGAAAAGACACATTTATGATTACCAGCTTCTCATAACTACTTTTCAAGAAACACTCGATGAAGAACTCAGCAAAGCTGTTACTCCTTGTCTTTCATTTGTGCTTCAGTAGTTCCTTCTCACCTTTTCCTCCTTTGATGAAGCAGAAATGTCTAAATAGCATACTCTGAAAACAGTCACAACAGTAACATTCACAACTGGTAACATGGAGACTTGAACAAAACGGATTTAGGCTGAATAACAGAGGGCATATTTCTGAAGAGGAATAGAAGTGCCAAGCTGTACTGTCATCCCTATCCATTTTATGACTGACAGAACACAAAGTTATTAGCAACCTTCCTACTTCTCTACCACGTGTTCAGAATCATGATATTACCAGAGCACCACTACAAATTCTACAACTATCTGGAGGCTAAGCTAACTGATAATAAGCAAATTTATTGAAATTAAGATATAGTTTAAAGCTTTCATGAGTAGAACCTAGCAAATATTTTAAATGGTTATGGCCTATCAAGAATGTATGCAGTCAGTAATACCCAATAAGAATAGCTTTACAGAGAGGTCTACAGGTGGAAAGCACTATTATTCTAAATTACCAAACAGTGAACTCAGGAAAAAACAATTTGAAGCTATTTGCTCAAACATAATCTTATCTTTATGAAAGTTAGGATTCCATTCTCTCTCAAAACCTTTCAAAATAAGCTATACCAAAACCAAACATATAAAGCACAACTCCCTTAAGGCATTTAGATTCTTACTGATACAACGCTACATGTCTCTATAAAGGGAGTTTTATCAAGGTACTCTATCTATCCCAAGCAAAGGTGGGATGAATCTTTCACATATCAATGTTTCCCCAAATCGTCAATTTACTACGAATTCTGAGGTGAAAAGTTGATTTATATGAATGTTCCTGCGGTAAGGCTTTATACACCATCATTCATAGTTCCCAGATGCAAAGAAATACATACCATATTCATTTTTTCTTGTCGAAGTTCACTGCTGAGATTTGTAGTAGCCATGTTAAGGGCTGCTTTACACACCCACTTGCTAGCTATACCATCCACCTAAAACTAAAAACAAAACATCAAGTAAGTAATTTTGCCCTGTGCAGAATATCCTCATGCATAATTTGTAGGGTTACTTGTAACAGCAATAGCCATCTGATTAAAACAACAACAATACTACAGCATCTATTTCTGAGTCACTTGTCTTGGATAATTGATCTTCTGAGAGCATGAGTCATTCAGTTTGAAATTTATTAATTCACTAACATTATACTTATATTACCCTTAAAATAACAGGATTCCTTCTCACCTGTAAATTAGTACATTTTTTTTTGTTCATTTTACAATGCCAAAATGCTGCTTTGTACAGACTATTTAGGTCAGCTGTGTAGCATCATTTTATAAAACACCATCCATACAAAGATCTTTGGGTGCTTTTCAAGTGTGTGTGTGTGTATATATATATATATATATCAAATTTGCGTAGAGGAACAAGTTTTTTGATTTGCACAAATACATTGGCACATATATATGGTGGCATGGGAGTACCTGGGCAACTCTATACAAAAGCATCACAATAGAACTGCAGGTAGATCCTGTAATCTTTTGAAACAGAAAAGAGAAAATCAGAAGCACAGAAAGGAATTTCTGATGATGGAATCTAATTATTTACATCTGTTTTTGCAAAATAGGGTTTATATTAACTAATGAGGGTCAGATCAGCCAGCTTGATAAAACATCATTTCAGTGAAAACTTTTCACCTTTAGCTATGACCAAACTCTGAATAAGAAAGTCTGGTTTGTTTCAAAACTCTATGTATCCTTGGCTGGAAGATTTTTTTCCCAGCTTGAGGTGGGACAGTATCAAATGAAGAGCACAGCTCCACTTGGAAATTCTCTAACAAGCAGTTCCAGATATGCTCAAAGGTAAGAATAGCATGCTGTACACCAGCCAGTTCTAGAAATATTTGACTCCCCTTTGAAGAACTGTCAAGGATGCCACTTGACAAAGCAATTTAGCCAAAGCAATTTTGCCTAACAGAAGAGAATATGTCCTGCCCTTTTGTCTCATCAGTATTTTTGCCTGCTGCTCCAGCATCTGTTTGTCCATACAGATTGGCTTGCCAATCTGGCTAAAAATAATGGTGTAAGAATGTATTTAATCAAGCAGCTGTACCATTTTTGTTTTGACAAGCAATTGAAACTTTGCAACTTTTTATCTCTAATATGTTGGTTGGCTTTCAGCAAAGACAAATGTGACTCTTCAGCACTGCAAAGAGCACTGTAGTCTGACTGCATGGCACAAACACAGTCTCTTCAGAAGTATTGACTATGCAGCACAGATGTTTTCCATCTATTAAAAATCCCCGCTTTCTGTTTTTCCTATAGGTTGAGCACTGTCCATCCTGAAATATTTATAAAATATAAGCTTTCAACAGGAGAAAAAAGTGCTCAAAGCAAAACAGGAAATGCCTTGGGCCATTTTTTATTGCCAAAGAGCTATTATTTTCAAGTACTTTATAGATAACAAATCTGATTTATAAAAAAGCAAGGAATTCACATTTATAATATTTTAGGATAACACCTAACACTTAATTTTTATATCTAAACTAAGAGTTAAGTGGGAAACTTCAGTGGGAAACTCGGATTGCAGTTATGTTGTTTAGCTCTACTACAAAGTATAACTGCACTTTCAGAACAAGAACTTAACATGTCTGAAGCAATTCTGAGTGCCTCACTGACTCCCCTGGAGGCCCACACTGAACATCTGAAGGTCACTGGTGCAACTGCCCTATTCCACTTGTGTGCTTACATGAGTTCAAGGAGAAGCACAGAGTGCCCAAAGCCTGACAGTGTTCTGAGGAACAGTACATGCTGTCAGAGATCAGCAATGGCTCCTCAGGTAAGGACACACAGCTGATGCTGCCAAGTATAAAAGCAATTATGTCTTGGGTGTCAGAGCCGGAAAAATGAGTAATATTACACAGAAATACTGTAATGGCTACACTGGTCCTTGTATTTTGCTCATCTCACATGAGCAGTAAGCTTCCTGCCTTTGAACCACACCTTTTTGAGATGCCTTATATCCTTGAGACACTTCAGCAGCCAACTTTGTGGCATCTGCATGGAACCAATACATCCATAAATACCTATTTATATAGAGATATATTTTAATATCTCAGTCAGTTTCACATCTTTCACTTTGTGCTATTCTGGATTCATACTGACTTTGTGCTCCAGTGTATTAAGCTTATTAATTTTCCAGTAAGGTGATGGAGCAAAGGTTGAGAATGTTACAATCAACAGAATGACTTCTTTTGGAAACGCTTTTTAGGGCTGTCCTGAGGGCTCTGGATCACTACTTACAGACTAAAGTTTATGTAACATTACATAAGTAAGAACCAGTATTCTCAAAAAAAGCCATCCTAAGGATTAAAGCTCAAATTTCTTGCACAACAAAGTATTTCCATAAGAAGCCTAGAATTGAAATAAAACTGCTCCTGTAATAAAACTCAAACACAGACTTCATTTTAGGGAAGTCCATCCTCAGGTTTTACCATTAAATTACAGCTGCCTATGTTGGTATTTATAATGCTCTATGGATGATTGAAAATGAATCAGTAACACATGGGGAGAAATAAAATTTCACTAACAGGATCTGGAATTAATTCCCTCTCCTCCACCTTGATAAGCTTACAAGGTAATACACAGTCTTCAAGGAGAATAACTATGGCAAAAGGCCTAGTCTCTGACTTGGAACTAGGAAGACATAAATACACTTGCACAAAATACTTTGTATATGTTAAACAATTGTTTTGAGATACATGATATCAATTTTAAACACCTGCTGACTAAACCATCTGCTACATGTATGGGAACTGCTGAATCATGGCCTGAACCTCTGATTGATCACCTGAGGTGAGCAATGAGTCAGTCCTGAGAGCACAGGTAAAGGCAATTCACCTGTGCTGCCGGAAGGGGTGGAGCCTGGTGCACCTCTCCTAGACCCATTTAAGAGCTGAGTACCAGTGAGTAAGGATCTCTTCTGGAGATCCCTTCTCTGGAGTTTTGCAGCAAGCCCAGGATGCAGGTAAGCATTCTATCCTCTTTTTGTTATTATAACCTGCTTAGCCAAACTCTCTTGTTTATTTCATATTTATTTCATAATTATAACATCTTTATATTAATTGATTATACAGTACATGATTATGAACCAGGCAGACAACAGCAAATACTTTTACAGGACAAATGCTCGTGTTAATGTGAAAACAGCTCTTACCATTTTCTCCAACAAAGGCTACTTCTGCTATTATACCAACTAATTATACCAACTAACAGAGTACTGTGCTGATCAGCCAACCAAATGCCTCAGCTCCTTCCAGTAATACAGCAACAAAATACTCAGCCACCACAGTGGTTTCATGGTGTTTGTTGCCAGTTACAGAAGGACCCTAGAGAAGACAGAACAACAAGGTGGAAGCCAGTACAGAAAGTAGAACTTTGTTACATTTGCTCATTAAAGAAAGAGCTGCCCAAACTGAAATAATCGAAGAACTTGAGTATACTCGTACAGTTAGTGACCATAATGATCCAAGAGACAGTTGCAGCTTTATGTACATTTTAAGCCTGTTGATAAGAGCAGAAGTTTTCAATTTCAAAATGCTTAGATCTAACCTTCAAAGCAGTGACTATTTTTGTTATTGTGTAACAGAAAACAATCAATTTTGAAACTGTGTTGTTTAATTACAAGATTAAAGAGTTGATTACAGTTCAAATGTTCTCTTTAGTTCATCAGAGGCTTGAGTAATAGAAAGAAGGTACAGAAGGAATAATGAGGCTGTCTGTCTCAACTGCACTCTTTCCTAAGACAAACTAAATCTTGAGTTATGCAAGCTGAGCAAATACATCTCAGTAAATATATTTCAAACCTTCTCCCGCTTCAGTTCCCTCGGAAAGAGTAATACTATGTTTTTTCACACACTGGTGCTCATATAAACCTTCAAAGATTTACAAACAGTTATCCTCATGGCTGGGAGTGCTGTCTTGCCCAGTGCCTGCTGGAGGACAAGCTACATGAGTCATCTGCAGGGGCCAGCCTGCTTGGCCTTGCTGAGTTGCAGGTGGCTACTTCGGTACTTCATGGATCCAGGGGAAGCTTGGGCACACGTGCTCAAACACAAAATGATACTGAAGAACCCAAAGCGTTTTTCTTTTAAGCTTGTGCTTTTAAAGCTAGTCGTAAGATCTCTCGTAACATGAGACCACCTCTTATAGGAAACTAAATTGAAATGTTGTAAGGAACGAGCAGGAAATAGGTAAAGAATCAGAAGTCAGTCATAGCAAAGCAATATGGACAAAACTATGAACTACAAACTCGAGGAAGCAGCTCATTGCTTAGAATCACAGAATTATTAAGGTTGGAAAAGATCTCTAAGGTGATGTAGCCCAATCATCAACCTGATCCCATGATGCCCACTAACCACGTTACTTAGTGCCACATCTCCACGTTTCTTGAACATCTCCAGGGACAATGACCCCACCACCTTCCTGGGCAACCTGTGCCAGTGCATCATCACTCTTTCTGAGAAGAAATATTTCCTATATCCAACCCAAAGTTTCCCTGGCACAACTCAAGGCCATTACCTTTTGTCCTATCGCTATCTACATGAGCAAAGAGGCTGACCCTTGCCTCACTGCCACCTCCCTTCAGGCAGTTGAAGAGAGTGATAAGGTTTTCCCTGAGCCTCCTCTTCACCAGATTGAGCAATCCCAGCCACTCCCCATAAGACCCATGTTCCAGACCCTTCACAGCTTTGTTACCCTTCTCTGGACATGCTCCAGGGTCTCACTGTCTTTCTTGTACAGAGGGGCACAAAACTAAACACAATACTTGAGATGAGGTCTTACCAGTACCAAGTACGTGGGGATAATCACCTCCCTGCTTCTGTTGGCTGTGCTTATTTCTGATATAAACCAGGATGCCATTGGCTTTCTTGGCCACCTGGGCATGCTGCCTGCTCATATTCAGCCATCAGTCAACTAATAACCCCAGATCCTTTTCCTCTGTGCAGCTTTCCAGACAAAAAAAGATATGGTAAAGCAGAAAATACCTATAGCACTATATGAAAATAAGAAAATAAGAAAATGAACAGTCTGCAAAATGAGTTCATAGAATGAGCTGCATGTGCATAATGATACCTGAAGGCCACGGACTATAGTGAGGGAACTTCTATATGGAGTCACACGAAAGGCAGTGAGAAAAACCTCCACAGCAATGCAAATGATGGGGAAAGGGGTTCATGCAGCACCTACCAAGGAGATAACTCAAGAAATGCACCATTTTCTGCAAGGACACTTCTGTTCCAATGAGCTCCAGACTAAGCCTGCAAGAAGGGCCTTCCCTGAAGCAGAGCCAGAAAGCTCTGTATGGAGCAGATCCAGGCACTGAGGGGACACAGAAATGGCTTTGTTAATTTTCCCAGCAAAGGTGAGACTACAGAGATGCTGAAGCCTGTCCTGATTTGCTGCTGCTTGATGTGCTCAGAGTGCTGGGCTGAGTCCCTGCAGTGCTAACTGTATCTCTAATTACTTCTGATAGCAAAGTAAAGCCAATTGACACAAACTGTCTTGTAGGGTATCTTCTTGTCATCAGATGAGCAGACTGCCCACAACTTTTGAATCCTGTCCCAAATACAGGGAGCATGTGTTTCCCAGGATAAGGGGAAGAGTTGTACTGTGTCATTTACAAAAACCATAGGCCCCTGGGGAGCGGTAACCTTGCTCCACAAGTTATAGGCAATTTTACAAGAAACGACCAAATTTCAGAAACGATGAGTTAATAGATTTGGCAACAGATAAGTTTGTTGTAACCAGCTATCCTTGCACAAACCACTTAAGGAAAGCGTATTGTTTGAAAGCCATAAAGTGCATATACATAGATGGAGTTTCATCATAGAATCAAGCAAACGCAGACTGAGCTAATGTTTTCTTTATCACTGTTTGTATGAGTCTAAGAGCACATGTTAGATTGCGTTTTGGTTTGCTCTTTTCATATGTTGACGGTAGTCCTCTGAGATGCTAGCTTAAGTTATGCAGTATTTGTAGTACAATAAAATCAGCTTTAGAAATCCAGTACTCAAAGAAAACCAAAATGTTGCTTGTTCTGTGTGCTTTATTATGTCTCACCTTAGCAGGGTGTGGGGTTTTTTTTTTGTTTGTTTGTTTTTAATACAGATAGTCTCCAACCTTTCTAGGACTGTATCTTGCAAAATTTTCTAAGATCTTCAGTTTACCTTTTCAGCTACTTGAAGAAAATAACTGTCAGGTTTGCCCTAGAAGCAAATTTTCCTCTTTCTTCTACAATTGTTCTCAGTACAGGAAAAAATATGACTTGGAATTAGCTTACATAGAAGATACATTGAAAAATAACCTTTTACAGAGCCTACAGGAGCTTGTTGGTTTTGCTTGGCAAACAATTTCCAATTCAAAGTTGCATAATCTTACACCATTAAAACAGAGCAACTCTTGCAACATGGCCAGCATCCAAATAGAAATCAAGTACACATCTATTACCAATATGACATAACTTCTGTTTAAAGAGAGGGCATTTCAGACAGCCTAGCTGAAGCAGCAGGCTCTGCACAGAATGATTTTGTACAGAACTGCCTACACTACGCAGCATTCTTTTCTTCAGATGAAAAACAAAGCTTTCTGTTTGATAGTTACCGACTACTTCCAAGATACTTTTCCTTTTATTTCAGCATAAGACAGACACTTCTCATGACAGATCAAGATTCCTGTCTGAGTCTAAAGAGAAGCTCACGGCAATTTCTGTTAGCAAAACGCACAAGTTGCCATACCCTGCCATTCTGGAACACGATAATCTGATGGGCACGGCTGGCATTTCATGTTCTGAACACAAAGTCAAATAAAATAGTCTCGAACAATAACTTCCAACAGGGGAAAGTTCCGAACACAGACGGCATTACCCGCAGCTGCATCAGCGCTGTACCCGCGATGAGGAAGAGCCGAGCCTGACACGAGGCCGGCAGTTCGCCAAGCGAAGCGCCTCCGCCCCGGCGCTCCGTGGACGCAGCGATCAGCCCGTCTGCACGCAGCGCAGCGCAGCCTCCGGGTCCGTGGGAGCAGCAGCACCGCAACCACGCGAGGATCGATGAGCATGGACTTACAGACATCGTCCTGACAGGCCTGGGGAAGCGTGGTGAGAGAAGGGGAGACAAGGGACCCAGGCGCTACGCCGTGCAGCGGGAGTCCCGCTGCCCCTAGGCGTCCCGCGCGGGTATGACAAACAAAAGTCTCCGCGAGCAGCCGCGCAGCCCGGCCCCATCCCGGAGCCGGGCGGCTGCCATGAGGCGCCTTCTACGGAGCCGGCACGACCCAACTGTCGCACGTCCTTAGGACTACATCTCCCGTCGGGCCCTTCGCCACGGCATCATCTGGGCCGACAGCCAATCCCTGCTCGACCCCAGAATGCGTCGCGGCTCCGCGCACTGCCATTGGCTGGATTTGAAAAGAACGCGCGGCCGTTACCGGGCGTGCTCTTTGGACGGCAGCGGCGGTGCGCGCAGGTGGGTGGCGCAGGGGGGCGCTCGGCACGGGCGCCGAGGGTGCGGCTGGGCGGCGCGGTGCGGGCGCGGGCTGTGGGACTGAAGCGAGGGGCGGCGGCGGCGTGTTCGGTGGGGTGCTGCGATCTCATCCTGTGCCACGAAGGTCCTGATGGCGGGTGACGAGCTCGCCGGAGGGGGTGGAGCTGAGGGCTCCTCCAGCCACCTCCGGCTGCCCCTGCCCCCTCCGGCAGCCCCTCCCGACGGGGACAGGCCGACGGGAGAGCGCTCCTGCCGCGGCGGTATCTCTAAAATCTCCGCCTCGGGGCGTCCGACGTGTCCGCAGCGCTTTCGTGCCCACCGTGGGCATCTGGGCGGTCGACAGTTTCCCGTTCGCAGCGTTACCGATCTGAGCACAACTCTCACACGTAGGGCCGCGGTTCCAGCTCTGCGTGCGGCGCAGCGTTTGCCTTCTGCTTCTCAAGCGAGAAATCACAGCGCGAGAGCAGGATCCTGCTAAATGCCGCTTTGCGAGCAGCCATCACTGCAAGTAGGTGAGGCGGCGGTTATGTGACGTACGGCCCCTTTGGCGGCGTCGGCGGTTTGTGGTTGCCTAGCGACCGGCGGGAGCGACCCTGCTCGGCGCGGGTCCGTTTCTTTCCCGTAGGACGGCGTTTGCTGAAGCTCGGGCGATATTTCAGAGCAGGCTTTCCCCTGCTTTCGGGGCAGCTGCCCGTCGTGCTCGACAGCCGTAGGCTAGAGAGAAGAGAACGCCTCGCCGCTTACCTTCCGCGTGGCTTTCGGCGATGTCTGCCTAGCCTTGTCCGACTCGGTCCCTGCGTTTTGCAGGTCGGGTAGGAAGGCTGAGCTGTGTGTTGACACGTCCCGGCTTCTTGTGCTGCTGGCGGAGAAGGGAACTTGACTGCGTGAGAGGCAGTGCTGTCAGCGAGCGAAGGGGCTGTGACCCAGCGCTGGTCCCGTCGGCGGCTTTAACCGCTGAAGTCTAACAAGCGTTTTCTATTGCTTATTGGCGCTGACGGACGCTGTGTGCGCACTGCTGGGGCTTGGCGTCAGGTGTAGCGTTGTAAGGCAGCCGAGCCGCTGTCCGAGCTGTAGGAAGCCGGGCAGCTCCGAAGCGTTAGAGTGCTTTTTGCCGTGCTGGATGAGTGGTATCCTGACAAGCTGTTTCAGAGTGCAAATATAAACTGCAAAGATGGCACCTGTAGTGTCTCGGGGAGAAGCAGCAGGAGAATGAAGTGCGGACAAAATACGCAGGTATTCTTAAGTCAGACGTGCTTCCTAACGGCTAGTTTGGTGTCCCGCCTGTCCACTATTTGTAACGCTGAATCAATTCCACTTCCCTTTCTGTAGCAGACCTCTGCTGAGATGAGATACACTGAAGGAGTTAAATTGCGGATTTAAAAACCAACAGTTGTACTCTGGCATGAGGTTTTCTGATTTTTAGTGTCCTCTAAACAGCCGAAGCTACCTATTAGACTTCACAGTGCCTCCGAGTTCTGTGTAGTGTTAAGCTGCATCGGGTTGTCCTTTATAATACCCACGATTTAGTAGGTGCTACAGGGATGAGCCATTGCACTGCTTTATTTTGATAAGCTTTTATTCCAGATGGAGACTCTAGCTGCAAAATGAGATGATGGGGAAGGTTACGTGGAGCGGGACTGCTTTTATTCAATGATACCTGTGACTATTTCCATCAGCCATCGTGGCTCTGGCAAGGCTGTGCTACACGAAAAGGCTTTTTCCTGATGGGCAGTTGTGGTGCAGTGAACCTGACAGGCAGCTCGGCACCACACGGTTTGCTCCTTGTAGTGAGATGGAGGGGAGAATAGGAAAAAGGTCGCACTTGTGGGTTTGAGATAAAGAAAGTTGAGTAGAACAGAAAAGGAAGAGGAAGCAAGAGTCAGTCCATGCACGCAAAGCAAACTGCAGATATCACTTAGTCTCGTAGTACCTAAGTGAGGTTAGGAACTCTACATCGTGTGTTGAAAGAGTGAAGAATTATTTCTTTTTGTATTATCTTGCAGGATGGAACCGAATTCAGACGAAGATAAACTTTTCAGACCATCCTATGTAGCTAGCGTGGAGCTACCTGAAAGAACAGGACTAGTAAACGTGGAAGATATTAAAACAAATCTCTCTGATGAGTTTAGTTCAGCTTCTTCAAGCTCAGACATGAGCCGGGTAAGAAAGCTTTA